GGGGGGTTGTTGGGTGGATTGTTGGGTTGCAAACGGGCGGTGATGAGGCGCGGGGTCCCGGCCCCCAGATTGTGATGTCTCAGGGGGCGGTGGGCGGGGCGACGCCGGCTGGGGTGAGCCCTCGGGTCCCAGAGCCGGTCCGGGAGGGCACGCCCCCTCCCAACCAGCTCCCGGGGCCTCAGCTCACCCCTGTCCCGGGTACAAACCCCTGCAGACGCCCCACCACCTCAGGTCCCCTGCCTCCGCACAATTCCGAGAAGCCATCTCTGCGGAAGACAGGGGCTGGGGCCGAGGCCAGGCGCCCCTGTGGGCACCTGGGGTAGCGGCGAGCACCTGCGTAGGGGCGAACGAACGCAGATGGAGTCAGGGGCAGTCTCTCCTCTGCCTCCAGACTGGGGAGCTCGAGCGAGAGGACTTCTTTCCGGGCTTGGAAACCTTTTCATTGGGGATCCGGTCCGGAGATGACCCCAGATTCTGGGGAGGGAAGAAGCAGCCCGAGACCCCACCCCCACCCCGGGCAGTCCCAGGCCCCTGAATCTTCAAGTGACCCGTTCTGGGGCTTTCCTGAAAATGAGTATGGGCCTTCTGGGGTGGGTGTGTGTGTGTGTGTTGGGGGGGGGCGGTTCTTCACTGTTTCTTTTAACTCTTGAGAGTTGCAGGATCTTAATCTTGTTTGGGGCTGGCTACTACATCAGGCAAAGTTAACTGGTTTCCGGAACACAAAAAGTGAGGTCCTGGGATCTTGGAATTTACTCAAGGCTGAAGAATGAGTTAGGGACATGAGATCCAAGCCCCTGGCTCAGTACTTTGACCTTTTCTTGAGTGCTGGGACAGGCTCTCCCGGCCAGGCTCCACACAGAATGGCTCATATATGGGGTAGTCCAAAAAATAAAAAATAAAAAATTGTGGGCAGGTCTCCCTGAGCATTTAAATGCAGGTTGAGTTGTGTTCCTCATTGCCACGTTCATGCTACTGAACCACTAGAAACTCATACAGACGGGCTACTTCCTCAGTAGCTAATAACTATGCGGCCCCTACTGGTGAGCAGACCCTGTGCCCCTAAGATGAAGGAGTCTACGATCAGACTCAGATTCCTGGAGGGGAGGGGGGACATGACAACCAAGAAACCAAATAATACACATGGAAATGATTTCCAGAACAGAGAAAATGCACCGGGGTAGGTGGCAGAGATGGGGAAGGGGTCCAGGGAGATCTCAGGAAGACTGACCTTGGAGCTGAACCCAGAGGATGACGGGAGCCCCCACCGGGAAAGCGATTTGGGCAGGGTCCATGGACACAGGCCCCAGGATGGCGTCCTGTGTGCCACCGGTTTCTAGACGCCAGGGGCATAATCAGGGATGGGACACTGCAGCCCAGTGAGCTGACCATAACAGTAGGGAAGTTTCACTGGAGGATAAACAGGAATATAATGTCAAGCTCTGCATTGCTTTTTCTTTCTCTTGTTCTGTTTGCCAAGTTTCTCACCATGAGCAAGTATTTTTATAATCAGGCAGAAAACCAACAAGTTCTCCTTTAACCTCTCAAGACTCTCTATTTCCAGGCTCTCCTCATCTGCGGGTCGACATGTCCAATGGAGGCCAGTGAAGCCAACGGGGGGCTGCTAGGTGCCTGGGTGCAGGCCCTGGGTCTCGAGGCAGGCGCTGACTTCTCCTTGACTGGGTCTGAAAGCGCCTGTTCATTTCACACTCGGGGGAGCAGGGCCGCTTCTGTGTCCTCCAGAGCTGGGTGCCAGTAGCCAGACATCACTTGGTTTGGCCCCATCTGCTAGCCATCTCCCGTTTTTATGCTTCAATTTATTTTCCATAATTGCTGTGGAGAGGGGAGTGAGGCTGAAAATCATTTTCTTTACAAAGCAAAGAGCCAAGAAAATCAGCTTCCTTCTGCATTGAGAAGTGGGTCTCAGGGAGCAGAAGGCTTTAAACAAGGTGGTGCGATGTCAGGGGCAGGGATGGGCCCTTTATTGGGACGCAAAGATGACTGTTCTGTGAATGGAAGGCTGCATCATTGGAGGAACGTTGTGGGGACGGTAACAACGCCCTGGCAGAGAGGGGCCTGATCACCATTGATGGAGCACCAACCGTGTACTAAATGTCAGTGCAGAGGAATTCTTTGTACCAAGGCGTAGAGAATTTTAGGTGGTTAAGATGGAGCAGGAACCCAAGTTGGCACAAAGCATAAGGCTAGCCCCTAGCAGGTTCCTGAATATTCACTGAGCTAATGTGTCAGTATTACTCCTCTTTCCTTCATTCTCCCTGAACTCTGGCCCTCCCGGACCGGTCCCTGAGTCACCTCCTTGCCCATCAATCCTGGTTTTGTGCTTTTCTACCTAGGATGTGGACAACAGAGGTCTGGCCACAGCCCACTAACCCCGAGGCCTCTACTTATTCTGTTCCCTTTGAAATGCCCTTCCCCTCCTCTGTTCCCTGCATTTCCCTTCACCCGGCACACCACTGCTAACTCATGTTCATCCCAAGAGGACCTCCTCGAAAACCCCTAAGCCCAGCTGAGTGCCCATCTTCTACGAGTCCCATAGTATTCAGTACAAGCTCATGATACCCCATGAGCCCCATCTTAACACGTTACATTATAATTGGGTATACTTGGTGGTTTCCCGCCGAAGCTGAAGTACTTGAGAACACGGCTGTCTCATGACTTTGTCTATCTGAGCACTAGCACGTGCCTGGCACAGAGAGAGTTCTCAATATTGAGTGGATGGATGATTGAAGAGTTCATTATAGGCCTGAACTCACAAAGCAAGGACCAAATGACAAATGGTTGATCCCCATGTCCTGGGCCCAAGTGAACTTCTGGAGTGGCCGTCAAAGCAATGTTCACATACTGGCAATGGGCAAAGCTGGGCCCCAAGCAAAGACCACACTGTACCTTCTTTGGGTGTATACAGCCTCCTGGTTCTGGAAGTCCAGCGGGGAGAGAAAACCCCATGGGGGTTTTTAGGCTGTTTGCCCTCTTGCCTGAATTAACAGTACTATTTTTCTTTCACACTTTTATTTTTGGGAAGGAAAAGTACTCTGCCTGAAGGCTTGGCTTCCTGGGAGTTTCCAGAAACGGATTTTCTAGAAATTGCCCAATTCCCCTAGAATCTGTGCCATTGTTTAAAACTGACTTCTGCCAAGTGAAAGGACATGGCATCAGAGAATCTCAAAGAATCCCTCATGGGACCTCAGAGATCAAGTCCAACATCCCTCCCTATGTAGGGACTTTTAAAACATCTGGCCCAGTTATCTTCTTGCCTCTGTTTATGGGGACGGATGACTTCATGCAGATGATCTGGACAGGAGGTTTGCATGTCTGCATCCCAGACCCACTTTGGGAAAGAATGAAGACAACGGAGATAACCCCAGTGTCCCCACCAGCCCCCTGCAGGAAAGCGGTATGAGGGTTGCAGCCAGTGGGAAGCTGCCTTCTCCGGTCATGATCCTGTATTTGTGTGTGACGCTTGAGGCTTGAATAGCCCCTGAATAGCCCTTGGATAGCCCTGAATGGCCGGTGTCAGCCAGTCTTCCTAATAATGTCATGAGGCCAACAAAGCAGGCTCATTTTTTGGTGGGGCTTAAAGCTGTTCAGATACCTGCCCAAGGTCACAAAGTAAAGCAAAAGGAGACTTTGAACTGTCCTTCTCACTGCCTGCCCGTGTCCATCCCAAGTACAGCTGGACTTATGCTGTGGACCGAACACATAGCAGTTTGGTATTAGTCATATGTACTTATGTATTGTCGTGTTTATTTGACATTTTAAAGAAAGACAGCTCATCAGCATGTAAAAACTGTTGGGGAGGGGCACCTGGGTGGCTCAGTCTGTTAAGCATCTGCCTTCGGCTCAGGTCATGATCTTGGGTTTCCAGGGATCAAGCCCCACCTCGGGCTTCCAGCTTGGCGGAAAGCCCACTTCTCCCTCTACTCTCCACTCATGCTCTCTCTCTCACTCGCTACCTGTCTCTCTCCCTCTCAGATAAATAAATAAAATTTTGAAAAAAAAGAAAAAAAACTGTTGGGAAGTCCAGTTAAGAGGCTGTAGTGGATCCCAGCTAGACTCACCGATGATGATTCACAAAGACCCAGACCACTTCCTGGGCTGCATTATGATGTCACAAACCTGCCCTGTAGCATGAACAGCCCACCCTCATTTATGCACTTAATAAACATTGGTCGAATATCTACCCATGGCCTGGCCCTGCGCCAGGACCCAACTGTGGACAAGACCCAGAATCCGCTTGCGAGGGGTGGGGGGGGTCCCTGCTCAGGGGTTTGGACTTTGTCCTAAGAGGAGCCTTTGGAGGACTCTCACGGGTCAGCTTGTCCCTTCTGTTGTGGTGTGGAGGGAGGGTCGGAGGTGTGGGACAGGAGTTCAGGGAACAGTCCATCTCAGCGAGGCAGTGAGGTGGCCGTGGCCATGGAGGCAGCTGTTCAGATGGTGGAGGTGACAGCACCCACCCGAGATGGCCCAGAACAGCGCAGCGCCTGTCTGTGCGCTGGACACGTAGTAGGTGCTCAGTAAGGGTTAGCAGTGTGTATGACTGAACAAATTCTATTGAAACCCACCAAGCAGTAATTCT